CATTTTAGTCCGAGTTATGTTCAATCACACGATGGTATGGATGCTCTGGCAAAGAAATGTGCCAAATATGCACCACTCGGACGAATAGCCTTTCCCATAGATATAGCCAAAGGAGTGGTATTTTTGGCTTCAAGTGACGCTCAGTTCATAACCGGTCACAACCTGGTCATTGATGGCGGACTCAAGTATAACATGGACTCCGACTTTACAAATGGTGTTTTATAGACCAGATTCAAATGTATATACATTATGAAATCGGGTGTAATTTATGGTTTTTGACTTGCAGTATTATATTTGAATATTTAAAAATAATAAAAAAATTTATTTAAAAATTCAACTTGTTAACAATTCACTATATTCAGTAAACAAAGTCTTAATTTCGGTAGTATTCTCTGTAATGGATTAGTTAGAAATTAATAATTTACTTAAATAGCGATCTTAACTTCATTCAAATATAACATTATTTTAACTAACATTATACTGTTTTGTATATTTAAAAATCATTTCAATTGCTAAATATGGTTCAATTGAATTATAATCGATGTAATTAACAAATATATTATAAATGTTTAAGGATTAATCTTGTGAATGTCTGAACTGAAATTAATAGTGATTATCAGATATTAAATGAAGGAATGGATATAACTTATAAATTTTTAACCAAGATATTTATTAAAAGTGGTGTACATTTTGTACTATTATGATGACCAATTTGTTTTTGAAAAGTTACTGTCAAACAATATATTGTTAACATTATGATTCAGTATTAAAGATTCACAAAATTACACTTCATATTTACTGGTACAATTAAATTAAATATCTAAACAAACATTTTATTAGAAATGGCTATGATTCGCATGCATTGTAGCCGGGTCAATTAACAGTGACAAAACTTTAAAATATAACATTAGTCAATATTGAGATCAATGTTAAAATGTTCAAAGTTTTGTCACTCATAGTATTGAAAATTGAATTATACTTTTTATCGATTAATAATTTCAATTAAATTATAACACAATGAAATAAGTGCTAACCTAGTTCAATTTTAGTCCGATCTAATTCAAAATGTGGATCAAACCAAGGTCTTTTTTAAAAGTACAGTACAGTACACCTGGTACAAGTTATTAATTGATATAACAGGCTTTTATATCTAAAGATTAGTTACAACAAAATTGCACTAATGTAAGAAAATTGATAAAACATAAATAATTTATTATTTATATTAAAATTATAATGATATTTTTATATTATATCTTATTAATGAACTCATTTTACAATTTCATAGATTGATAATTAGTTTATTAATAATCAAATATTGTTAATGTAATTCAATTTCTGATAAATTTAATTAAGTGGGACATACTTTTCAAAAAATGAACAGGCACAAATAATCTCAAACTTTATAAGACACATGACAAATGTATTGATTGAAAAATATATAAAAGCCAGACACGAATTGATTTGAAATTAACAGTTTAACAATTGAAACAATAATTTTATAACTTTACCAAGTTCATAAATTATAACTATTGAAAATGATTGCCTTATATTTGTTAGTATTAATTGGGTTCACAAATGCATTTCAATCAAACGATATCTATCAAGACGTAAGGGATTCACGAAATTTTACGGGAAAAGTAGTTTTAGTGACCGGTAGTAGTAATCGTATCGGTGAACAGACTGTCAAACTATTCTCGGCATTGGGTGCCAGTGTTGTGGTCACCGGTAGGCGAGAGGCAGAGGTTCAACAGGCGGTTAAAGAAGTACAGGAAGTGTCGCCAACAAAGTTAGAGGTAAACGAAAATATATTATAATTTATAAAACAATAATAAATTGAATTTTTTTTGACAGCCATTAGGAGTTGTGGCCGATTTAACCAAAGATGCAGACATTGAGCGTCTGTTCAATGAAACCATTAAGAAATTCAATAGATTGGATGTATTGGTGAACAACGCCGGTCTATATTTGAAAGCCAATGCAACCGATAAAGACTTTTTGGATATTTTGGATCAACAACAGAGGGTTGACGTGAAGGCATCCCTACAACTCATACGACTGAGTGTCCCGTATTTGCAAAAGACAAACGGATCCATAATAAACGTGGGCAGCGACTTCGCTGAGAGACCGGTATCTTAAAAAATTAACTATAAATTTAGTAAAAAGTATAACTCGTGTTTAATCCTAACTTAATAGCAAAGACAGCTATCAGCCTACGATATGGCTAAGACTTCGCTGACTATGGTATCCAATGTATTGGCCATAGAGTTGGGTCCACAAGGCATACGAGTTAATACTATTAGGTATGATGTGATTTACAGTATATTGGCTTTGATTGTTTAATTTATCATTAATTAATGCATTATCTTGTAGTCCTGGTATTGTAGATGATAAGGAGTTCCTGATCAAGAAATGTGCAAAATATACACCACTTGGAAGGATAGGTCAACCCATTGATATAGCTAAAGGTGTGGTATTCCTGGCCTCAAGTGATGCTCAATTCATAACCGGTCATAATCTGGTGGTTGATGGCGGACTCAAATATAACCTGGATTCAAACTTTAATGAATTTTAAAAGTATCAATTAACTTTATTAATTCATTGCGCTAATTATAATCGATAATAATTATAACAATAATAAAGAAAATTAAGAATTAAATTTTAAAAATTGTATTAAAACAATAAACTAAAATTTAAAAAGATTATCTTAAATAAAAGTTTTAATCTTGATTATTTAAACTTAGTTCAGTGATCGGGTATATTCTATATTAATAATTATTATCTTAAGAACAGGAATTGTAGATAATGTACAATATAATATACACAATACTGAAATCATAGTGTAGTGTAATACACTAGTACACTAGCAAGTGTTCCGAGGACGGTTAGATTGCATAAACTATTTACACTATTGTGTGTTCACTGATTACACAATTGAAGATTTAGTATAAAAGTCAATACTTTCAACCACTTTATGTTTATTATTAATTTATACTGTATTTAATTTTTAATTAATTAAAACGTTTATAAAACAAATATGAAAACAATTTTATTATTAGTTTTATTCTCAATAGTGAATGCAATTGATTTCAATGATTTCGATATCAAAGACTACGAAGAGGTGAAGAACTCGCGAAACTTTACGGGAAAAGTAGTTTTGGTGACCGGAAGTAGTTCTGGCATTGGGGAGGGAATCGTCAAACTATTCGCTATATTGGGGGCCAATGTTGTGGTGACCGCCAGAAAAGAGGCTGACGTTCATAGAGTGGCACAAGAAGTACAACAATTATCTCCGTATAAACTAAAGGTATGAATAAATTCATAAACAATTGAATTATGATTTTAACTGTGATTATGATTAAAGCCATTAGAAGTGGTGGCGGATGTGACCAAAACCGAAGACTTGGAAAGACTGGTGAATGAAACGATCAAAACATTTGGAAAGTTAGATGTTTTGGTGAACAACGCGGGCATTGGGAGTATGACTAAAATAGATGACAAAGACTTGATGTCAAAATGGGATCAAATTTTTAACGTCGACTTGAGAGCAGTCGTACAACTCATTCATCTATCGGTTCCTTATCTTAAGGAAACCAACGGAACAATAATCAACACATCGAGTGATGTCGGATTGATTCCGGTTTGTTATCTTATATATTCATTATAATTAGGATTATATTTATATTAAATTATTTAATATCCAGATCAACGTTATGTTAGCCTATAGTAGTGCCAAAGCGGCCCTGGATATGACGACCAAAGTACTAGCACTGGAACTAGGATTACATGGCATTCGTGTCAATGCTATCAAGTATTCATTATTCATATCCATATAATTAACACTTAATTAATAAAGTTATGTTTGAATAGTCCGGGTTATACTGAAACAAATAGTGGTGTTTTGCCAAAAGACATGATAGAAATCATTGAAAAACATACACCACTTCGACGTATTGGACAGCCATTGGACATCGCAAAGGGAGTGGTATTCCTGGCCTCAAGTGATGCCCAGTTTATAACAGGTGTTGAATTGGTGGTCGACGGAGGCATTGTGTATAATATGCCCAATTTATTTCCTGATTAATTAAACAATGTTATCATTGGACTCAACATAAAATCACACGTTTAACCTATGTAATATCCAATGTATATTGAATTTACTACTACAATCAAATAAAACTAAAATAAAAAACATTTTTTCGTATTGGTTATTGAAAAGAAAATATATAAATTGTGAACTATTAATAAATTGTTACGATTTTCTGTAATATATGTTAATTTATTAGTAAACTAAATTTTAATAGAAAATCATTAAACATTAACCAATACTGAATATCAGAGACTAAAATGTCTCACTCTATGAATCCCTGTCAACCGATTGCATCAATAGACTATCCGTTGATTTAAATTTTTAAAATCATTTCAATAATAAAACCAATAAATTTTCAAACGTTTATATTTTTCTGGGACTTATACTATAGTTTTAATTGAATTATTTTTCATGAATGGCACTATTGGCGACGGGAATGCATAATAGATGTCTAAAGTATAGTCGTATCAATATTTATGTAAGTACACCAATTTTGAAGTAGTACTGAATTGTACCTGACAAAATATTAGCTTATTATCAGTAATTATTTGTGAATTTTTGTTTTGAACACAGATGTCTTGTTTGTATATAATCCGGTTAATATATTAAATTTAGTTATATCAATAGGTTAATAGTTATTCACAATAATTATAATTAACTAATTATTAATAATGAAATTCATATTACTGTTAGCATTACTTTCAATAGTGAATGCAATTGATTTCAATGATTTCGATATCAAAGACTACGAAGAGGTGAAGAACTCGCGAAACTATACGGGAAAAGTAGTTTTGGTGACCGGAAGTAGTTCTGGTATTGGGGAGGGTATTGTCAAACTGTTCTCCATATTAGGCGCTAATGTTGTGGTCACCGGTAGGAAAGAGGCGGACGTTCATAAAGTGGCACAAGAAATAGAAACATTATCGCCGTATAAGATCAAGGTATTAATTATGATAAATGATAGTCATATATAATGAAATAATAAAATATTAACTATTTTAAAGCCATTAGAAGTTGTGGCAGATTTGACTAAATCTGAAGACATCACCAAATTAGTGGATCAGACCATTAAGAGGTTCGGGAAGTTGGATGTGTTGGTCAACAACGCCGGTATCGGTTTAGGCACTCGTATTGGAGACAAAAAATTGTTGGAGGCTTGGGATCAGGTGTTTGGAGTGGACGTGAGGGCTGTGGTTGAAGTGATTCACACAGCACTTCCATACCTCGAGAAGACTAACGGCACTATAATTGATACGTCGAGTGTAGCAGGCACAATACCGGTAGGTTTATAAACAAACATAATTATATTTTTAAATATATTTTGAAAAACCAATCAAAGATAATCGGATCGTTAGCCTATAATAGCGCCAAAGCGGCCCTCAATATGTTGGCTAAAGTACTGGCACTAGAATTGGGTCCCAAAGGTATTCGAGTCAATACTATCAGGTAATTAAAGTACAATAGTTATTGAGGTTTAATAATAATATATTTAAATTTACTAAATATAAACATATACCGTAGTCCGGGCTATACTGAAGTGGACAGCCATTTTCTTCCGCCGGACTATAAGAAAATAATTGAGAAACAGACACCTCTTAGACGTATTGGACAGCCGTTGGATATGGCGAAAGCCATTGCATTCCTGGCCTCAAGTGATGCTCAGTTTATAACCGGTGCTGAATTGGTGGTCGACGGCGGACTCATATACAACTTTCCGAACCAATAAAACTGTTCAATGTCATTTATAATTGTTTCAAAATGATTTAATTTTTGTGCTTTATAAAATAATGTGCTGTACATGTATTTTCAATAATTAAAATAAGATACAACTAAAATAATAAATTGTGAACTGGACAAAATAAAAAAGATAATTATTAAAAGATATTATTATTAATAAATTTTGAAAATTTAATTTATCTAAATCTAACTTTTAATAAATTCTATAAAGATATTCTGTTTAAATAAATTACTAATCAATTTGCTGATCATCAATAGATAAGTTGTATTTGCACATTTCAACAAGGTACGAATGAACTTGATTTTGAGGTCATTTTCAAAAATACTTATTCACTTTGTTTTATCACTTTTGTGGGAATTTTATGGTTTAACCACAGATGTATTAAGTGTATATAACCCAGTTGTTTTAATGAAAGTATTATTGTAGTAGATTAATAAATTAATAGTAAAATATAATTATTAGTTTAATTGACTAACTATTTAATTAATAATGAAATTCATATTACTGTTAGCATTACTTTCAATAGTGAATGCAATTGATTTCAATGATTTCGATATCAAAGACTACGAAGACGTGAAGAACTCGCGAAACTTTACGGGAAAAGTAGTTTTGGTGACCGGAAGTAGTTCTGGCATTGGGGAGGGAATCGCCAAACTGTTCGCTATATTGGGGGCCAATGTTGTGGTGACCGCCAGAAAAGAGGCTGACGTTCATAAAGTGGCACAAGAATTGGAACAATTATCTCCGTATAAGATCAAGGTAATAATTGCTATAACTAGAAAATACAAACATATGGTCAGAAATAATAAAATTAACTAAACTTTAAAGCCATTAGAAGTTGTGGCGGATGTGACTAAATCTGAAGACATCACCAAATTAGTGGATCAGACCATTAAGAGGTTCGGGAAGTTGGATGTGTTGGTCAACAATGCCGGCGGCGGTGTCTCCTTTTAAAGCCATTAGAAGTTGTGGCGGATGTGACTAAATCTGAAGACATCACCAAATTAGTGGATCAGACCATTAAGAGGTTCGGGAAGTTGGATGTGTTGGTCAACAATGCCGGCGGCGGTGTCTCCACTCGTATAGAAGACAAGAATTTGTTGGAGGCCTGGGATCAGGTGTTTGGGTTGGACTTGAGGGCTGTGGTTGAACTGATTCACACCGCACTTCCATACCTCGAGAAGACTAACGGCACTATAATTGATACGTCGAGTATAGCGGGTACAGCACCGGTAGGTTTTTATCACTAAACAATTATATTAACTATTATTCATAAAACATATTCGTATACTGTTTTAGATGATCGGGATGTTAGCGTATAATAGCGCCAAAGCGGGCCTCAATATGTTGGCTAAAGTACTGGCCCTTGAATTGGGTCCCAAAGGCATTCGAGTGAACACTCTCAGGTGAATATAAGATAATAATTATAAAGCTATACAATAGTAATTAAATGTTTGCATAGCCCGGGCTATACTGAAGTGGACTCTCGTTCAATGCCTATCGAGCAAAAAAAATTAATTGAAAAACAGACACCTCTTAAACGTATTGGACAGCCGTTGGATATGGCGAAAGCCGTTGCATTCCTGGCCTCAAGTGATGCCCAGTTTATAACCGGTGCTGAATTGGTGGTCGACGGCGGCATTGTCTACAATTTACCAAACAAACTATAAAACTATAGACATTGTGATCAACTAATTATATAGTATTGAAATTAATTGTTTGTCTGTTAACATTTTAATTAATAAACTAAAATAGCATTACACCAAAAAAAACTTGTTACTAATTATCATAAGTTACATATTAGTACAAACATTGTGCTGTACCTAATTGTATTTGATAATTTAATAGTGATAAAATTCTAACTGTGTGAAAAGTGTTATCGATATATTGTAATAATTTATATAAGTGTCTAATTTCAAAACACTTATACAATATAAACTTAATTTAGATAATCAGCAAAATAATCACAGTATTCGTTATAATAATGTGATCGGTCTTAAGAGTTTGGATATTGTCGGCACCAATAAACTTCAATTAAGATTAAAATCTAATTAATGTTATACACAATGTAATAAGTGTTTAATATAGGAGGGATCATTTTCAAAAACAATTTATAACAGCCTATTACTCTTTAAATATATCGTTAAGTGAATTATTATAATTGATTAGAAATATTGTGGGTATATAAAATTGATTTCATTATTTTCATAACTGAATTGAGTGTCAAATTCAATGTGAATGAAAATGAAATTTTTATTATTATTAGCGTTGTTTTCTATAGGAAATGCAATTGATTTCAATGATTTTGATATTAAAGACTATGAAGACGTGAAAAACTCGCGAAACTTTACGGGAAAAGTAGTTTTGGTGACCGGAAGTAGTTCTGGCATTGGGGAGGGAATCGTCAAACTGTTCTCCATATTAGGCGCTCATGTGGTGGTCACCGGTAGGAAAGCCGATGAAGTCCACAAAGTGGCACAAGAAGTGCAAGAGTTATCACCAAATAAACTAAAGGTATAATTAAATACAAAGTATAAACAAAATATATAATTATTATGTATGAATAGCCATTAGAAGTGATCGGAGATCTGACAAAGACTGAGGATATGACCAGACTTTTGGACGAAACGATTAAAACATTTGGAAAATTAGATGTTTTGGTGAATAATGCGGGCATTTATTATGAGACAAATATCACTGACAAGGATTTGCTAACCAAATGGGATCAGATGTTTAACATTAACTTAAGAGCTGTCGTACAACTCATTCACCAATCGGTGCCATATCTGGAGGAGACTAACGGAACAGTTATTGATATGTCGAGTATTGAAGCCACTCGTCCCGTATGTATAGATTTACATTAACTACATATTTCAATAGTAAAATAACATTACAAAACATATAAATCATATGCATTTTGTAAACACAAATTAATAATTTAAATTTGATTTTGATCCATGAACCAGATGCTAAACTACTTGGCCTACGATAGTGCCTATGCGGCTACAGATATGTTGGTAAAGGTAATAGCCATGGAATTAGGACCTAAAGGCATACGAATCAATGCAATCAAGTATTTATACATTTTAAATAATTGTTGAATAAAATACTAATTGTTATTTATAATGGTAATAGGCCCGGGTTCGTTATGCATCCAAACATAACAGTGCCAAAGGATAAAGTGGACCAATTAAAAAGGGAGACACCACTGGGTAGACCCGGTGCCCCCTTAGACATCGCCAAAGGGGTGGCATTTCTGGCCTCAACTGACGCTCAGTTCATAACGGGTGTCACTCTTGTCATCGATGGCGGACTCGTCTTCAATATAACACCATTTTAAACGACACTCACTTTGAATGACATTTAAATTAATTCATTAAAACAAAATTAAAACAAAACTTATTATTATTATATGCTTATTAATTTAATTTTAAATGTGTTACTAATGATTGAGCAATCAATTTAGTGCTTTACAATTAGTTGGCATTAAATTAAATAAAGATTTTTCAGATGATTGATTCATTAGAAAATTAAATGAATTATTATTGTTTTATTACTATTAAAAAATAATAATCTATAAAATTCTGATTGTTTATTAATTTACTGTACAGACCTGTATTCAATTAGTATTTGATGAATCATAAATGATGATTAAATTATACTTTTATAATTAAGTTATTAAAGCTATTAAAGTGATTTAAATTGATAAAATAATATTAAGTAATAGTTTAACCTAATGGATTTACAAACAATTGAGGTGAGGTAATGTTTTTAAGTATTTACTAGAATTTGCCAGGATAATAATCTAACAAGTAAGAGTGCAACAATTTTTGAACTTTTTATCAAGTTCTTGTAATTTCTAATTTGGAGTGAAGTCTGTACAACATATGTACCATAAAAATAATGATTTGATATAAGAAAATATTAATTTAATGTTTGATGTAACACTTAACTTCGTTAAGTGTTGATTTCTAAATACATGATAAACTTATAATATTAGATAATCAATGAATTAATCATAATATTCAGTATAAATCTCTTATATCATTGTAGCATTGATATTGTGGCACAAATGCACTTTAATTGTAATTGAAATCTGTCTGACAATGCCCTGGTGAGAAATGTGATTGAATATTGCTTGAGTTTGTCCACAAAATAAGTGTTTCATATACGAGGGAAAGGTGTGTTTGAGATAAATTAACAAATCATTTCGAAAGTACATTTTCAAATCAAAAAGGTTCAATCTTCATATTAAATATATAAGTGAATTATTATCATTGATTACCACTTGACTTGTGGGTATATAATCGCTTTAATTATTTGTATTATTGAATTGAGTGTCAAATTCAATGTCAATGAAAATGAAATTTATATTATTATTAGCGTTGTTTTCAATTACAGTCAATGCAATTGATTTCAATGATTTCGATATCAAAGACTACGAAGACGTGAAAAACTCGCGAAACTTTACGGGAAAAGTAGTTTTGGTGACCGGAAGTAGTTCTGGCATTGGGGAGGGAATCGTCAAACTGTTCTCTATATTAGGCGCTCATGTGGTGGTCACCGGTAGGAAAGCCGATGAAGTCCACAAAGTGGCACAAGAAGTACAAGAGTTATCACCCAATAAACTAAAGG